TTTGTGGGAATTGAGGAGGAATGTGGAGGGGAGGTGGGGAGAGTGGATTCGTGGGGGTGGGAGGGAAGGAGGTGGTTGGTGGGTGAGGAGGTTGATGTGAATGTGAATTTGGGAGGCGAAGAGGGTGTCGAGGTGTGTGGGAGGGGGGAGTGGGTTTGGGGCAGAGGGGTGGATGAGTTATTCGGAGTGGGGACGTAGGGTGGGCATGTGAGGAGAGTGGTTGGGGTTTGAGATGTGTCGGGGGGGGGGATGGAGTGGAGGGCTTAGTGATGTGGGGTGGTAGATGAGGACTAAGAGGGTGCGGTGAGTTTGTTGCGTTGCAGGTGGGGCTTTGGATCTTCGGAGGAGTGTTGGGAGTGGATGCGGTGTCGGCGGCGATTCTGGGGCTGTCGGTGCTTCTGACGACAGGTGTGGTTACATGGAAAGAGTGCTTGGGTGAGTCGGTGGCATGGGATACGCTGACGTGGTTCGCGGCGTTGATTGCGATGGCTGGGTACCTGAACAAGTACGGGTTGATTGCGTGGTTCAGCCAGAACGTGGTGAATGTAAGTGGAATCTGTGGAATTTGAGGAGTTTTGGGATGAGATGGGATGGGATGAGGTTGTGGAATGGGGGGTGGGAGACGATGTGGAAGAGTGAGTGGGATGCGTGATGGATTGTGCGGGGAAGTTGAGTGGGAGGGTTGTGCGGGAGGGCTGATGAGGTGTTTGGGTGGGTGCAGGTTGTGGGAGGGCTGGGGCTTGCTTGGCAAGCGTCGTTCGGGATCCTGGTGCTGCTGTACTTCTACTCGCACTACTTTTTCGCGAGTGGTGCGGCTCACATCGGAGCGATGTTCACAGCATTTTTGTCAGTGGGGACGGCGCTGGGGACGCCACCTCTGTTTGGGGCGCTGGTGCTGGCGTTTTTGTCGAATCTGATGGGGGGACTGACGCACTACGGAATCGGGTCAGCTCCGGTGTTTTACGGGGCGGGTTACGTGCCGCTGTCACAATGGTGGGGGTACGGGTTTTTGTGCAGCGTGGTGAACCTTGTGATCTGGCTGGGAGTGGGAGGAGTGTGGTGGAAGTTTTTGGGCCTCTTGTAGGTTGACGACAAGGCGGGAGTTTTTGGGTGAATGAATTGGTTTGTTAGAATGCGTTGCACATCTTTAGTGTTAGTATTTTAGAGTTCTGTTTGGCTACAGTAGTTAGTTTTGCGCTGGTCATTTATAATTTTAAGTTTTGCCTTGTCTTAGGAAAGTGTTTGGATCGTTTTGGTATCCAGCGCTTTTAGTTTTGATGTTCATCTTGTTGCCACATGTATAGATGTTTTTCAAATTTTGGGAAGTGTCGTAAATGCTTTGGCTAGACCCAATGATCAATACCCGCCGTAGGCACTTGTTGATTGTGGAGCGAGGGGTCCACACTTGGAAGAGCTTTGTTCGAAGTCACATTTAGCATGAAGTACTGTAACAGTTTAGGGTTTTAAGGAAGAAACATTTATCGCGGAATTTGACTGTTGAATTGTTGACCTGAACTGTGTAATGCGCCTCTTTTTCGCTCTGGAGTTTTGTCTGTTGTTTCTTTGTTTTTGTTGTTTTTTTCTTGGTTTCAGGGTGCTTTTTTTTATTTGCGTGTATTTTCTCTTGGTGTCTCTGTTATTTCAGAAAAATATGCACTGATTGTCAGTCTTATTTGATTTTTGTGTTCTTGGAATCTGCTTTGTTTGTGACGCTTTAGTTATTTTAGGTAGGTTATTTTTTAGCATTCTGGTACTGCGTCTAGACTGTTTACCTCATGGTGTTCACATTCATGGGATTAGCCGAGAGATAACTGGACGGGCTGAAATATTTGGGGAAGTTATCTCAGTTGGAAACTCCTAAATTTCTGCCAGTTCTTGAAGCAGAATGCTTTAATTAGAGTTTAGGATACCGAACTTTCTTATCAAGGCATGACATGTATTAACTGATCCTTAGAACCGAGAACATCGCATGCCACTTTGGACTGCTCACGTCAGAACTGGAATCTCTGGAGTTGAGAGTTTATCCCTGCTGGTGTAGAACGGAAAATATTCTTGACACATGTCAGTCCAATCAAGGAGTAGCATTTTGAGGAAAACACGCCGACTACCGCTAATGGGAGTGGGGTGTTCAAGGCTGAACTCATCTGAAGTCGTTCCAGTCATTTCGGGGCACACTTGTCTGTAAGGTTGTCATGAAATCCCTGCCCACCATAGCCCCGCTCTGCCCAATCGCTCGTTCCTTTTGTTTCCTTGCTTTATGATTCATATCAGGGTCTGCTGTGTCCTGCTTATAATTAAGATCTCACATTTACTTCTTGGAATTCCAAGAGAGTCGGATAGTTGCAGGATCCTTTTTTTGTCTGGGGATATTTGTGGGTTGCAAGGTTTTGCGTCTATGAGCTCTGTGACTCTCACCCAGTGTGCCTTGCCTCCTTGGCTGTGAGTCACCGGCCCTCCAACATGATGGAAAGCACCGGTACCAAGTTTGCTTCATTTGCAGGGTTGAGGATCGTAGAGTTTGTGCCCAACCTTGAGAAGAGATCGAGGGATGCTGTACCGGATATATCGTCTGAAATGTAAAGAAACCGTGGTGGTGCCATGGCTGCAGAGAGATTAACTGTACCTGCTTTGCTTGATGCCGATGTGTTCTACTTTCCTGTCGATCGAGATGACGTGAATTGATTTGATCGTCTGATAAGTATGGCAGAGTATCTATATTACAACTGAACGAGTTCCGAAGTTTGAACGGTTCTTCGTTGAAGCGCGATTCCAAATCTTTAACTAAGTCTGGCCAAGTTTTCTCTTCTGGGATAAGGTGTTGGGTGCATTGACCATCTGTGGCTATTATTCTGTAATGTCGTCCGAAGTGTAATTCAGATCTTTGAAATCTTCCCATGAAATTCCACGTCCTTGAAGATATAGCTGCTCAGGATTGTACATTAGAAAAGGTTGATGAAATAATAGTTGGTCTCTAGGTTGATGAAATAATCGTCATTGAATAATTGGAAGAGGCATTGGTCTTTTGAGAATGCAATTGTTGTCAAGATTATGACCCCCCCTATATATCCGGTCATGCATTGTCGTTTGCTAGTTCTGACTTGCAGGACGTTGTGCGGGGTGATAAGGAACTGTTCTACCTGGTGTTCGAAGCCTTCAAGGCCATCAAGAAAATTGCTGACATTGAATGGGACTCTCAAGTACGTCATTATTTCATTTCGAGAATAGATTATCTGGATATTTGACAGACTCTGGTGTTAGCTTTTGTTCATGCCCGAGTTGACATTGTTTGAAGAGGTATTCTTAGAGGTTTTGAGAAACCGTTCTAATATTGTGTCTCTTCTTGCTATTTCAGAATCCTGCTCAAGTCATGAACATGCGAGACTCTCTGGCTGAAATTAAGCATAATATGCTGTGAAGGTATCCTAACAATTGATGGGCTTTTAGGCAGAGTCGCAAGAGAAATATCTCGGTGAAATTGGTGTGAGAATCTTGTTTCTGACTTCGGGTTTAATTTTTTGTCGTAGAGTGAAATTATTATTGCGAAGGCAGAATGCTATGGGCAGTGTATTCCAGTCAGTACACTCTATGAAAGGTACATGACATTATGCTATTTTCTCTTCCTGTGACAGATCGGTTTCAGGGAGGGATCCAAGTTCCATGAGGATACAAGATCGTACCTGGTCCATTTATCAGTATGTTAAAAACAGATATCGTGCATTTATTCTATGCTTGCCATGTGATGGACAGGTATTCTGTTGGGATCATTTTACAATGTATATGCAAGTTTCGAGATTCTACAACACTGTTTTCTGTTGGGATGTGTTGCACATTGTAGATTCTTTCTTTTGGCGGTATACTGTGAATGGCATGTCGCGTTGTCTTGAAGACCATCTCAGTCAAGGTTTGTACAGTAGGGTCCATTAATCATTCAAATTTTTTCCTGAAGCTGAATCAAAATTAGAAATACAAACTTTGAGAAGTTTCTGTAGGCTCAAAAATTCTACAATTCACAAGCCATAAATTGCATTGGAAAGATGAGAGTCTACTTTGAAAATATGACAAATTTGCATTACAAAACTATAAAATCAAACAATAAATTTAATATCATAACATAATATCTAACATCTAGTATTGCCACCTCTTGCTAAAATAATTCCTTGCATTTTCTCAGACATACTCATAATCAAGGTTTGGAGTTTCTCTAAAGATATCTTGTGCTGACTGAATAGTTTGTGCCATTTTTGGAACAAAATTTTGACAATCTTCCATAGATTTCCCATGGAATTCAAATCTGGAGAGTGTGTGGATCAAATTAGTTTTGTTATACCATGAGCCTATCTCCATTGCAATAGAAGTGAGCTATGATGGACCAAAGTTCCATCTTCTATAAGTTTAAATTGCTTAGGATGATTATGTAAAAATTAAAACTTGCTTAATTCTTCCTCATAAATAATTGTTAAAAAATTGCTTGATGTTCTTATGTCTAGAGGCATAATAATAAGAGGGCATATATCAAAGCCAATAAATGCACCTCAAACCATCACCTACCTCCGGCCAAACTTAAAAGTTGGTGCTATACAATTCTACATATATCTTTTGTATAATTTTTGCCACATTCTAATATGCCTTAAATTCTTACCAATTTTAAATAATAACTTATTTGACAAAATTACATTGCACCAATCTTCATAATTTCAACTTTTAAGAGTGCAAACAAATGTAAGCCTATCAAATTTATACTTGTCATTAAGATAGGGTTTTTTAATTTTTAATTTTTTTTATACAATCTAATTTCTAAAGCCCTAATAATGCAAGTGCAACCATTTTTATGTTACAACATACATATGCTTGGCTTGCTATTCCTAACAGTGGTTGACTTCTATTATCTCTAATAAAATGCAATAATAATCTAGCACCACAATCAATCAACTTCATATATCTACTACATTAGTTTATCAAAGATTTTACATTACCATGGACCTTTCCATTTGTCAAAACAATGGGAATGGTCAATCGTAGAACATTCAATATAACTCCAATGTTCAAACACTTCATTCCACCCTCACACATTCCCACAATGTGGGCTCTTTCTTCACTAATCAACATTCTGTAAAACACAATACTTTTTAAGAATCTAATGCAAATTTAAAAATCAATAGATTAAATAAAAAAACATAACAAACAAAGGTAATTCCAATGCTCTTGTCCAAACAACCTACAAAACAACTTCAATCTACCATATTTCATCTACACAAGCTAATCTCTATTGCAATGACGTTTTTCGTTATAGTCTTGAGCTTTAAAGATATAAGAGATCTATAATTATTGAATTTTATTTAATTATTTTTTATACACAAGAATGATAAGTCTTTAAAACACCAATGATAGCACAAATATCTTGTCTAAAATATTAAGTGTTATTTGGAAGTAATTTTAACTTCTAATAGATTAAATTCATTTGACAATCTCTTAAATTATTTTCACAATATCAAGTGATTTATTATTTGTTGTTAATTTTTAATATATTTAATATTTTAAGAATTATTGAAAGAAAATGTAATAATTAAATTATAAGTTTTAATAATTGCAATGTATCATTGTAAGTAGCTAACTTAAAGACTTCTTATACTAAATTTTTTATTTTTTTATTTTTAATATTTTATAATTAATCAATAAAGAATAAAATAAATTAAATTAACAAATTTGTTAGCAAAGTGTTTATTTTGGATGTTGGAGATATGCATTACTTTTTAAAGATATTTTTAAAGCTACGTAAGAATTTTTTCTATAAAATTAATATATATATATATATATATATATAGAACAACCATAATAAGTTAGAAATTAAGAATTAATTTAGATGTTAATAAGCCACAAGTTTGTATGGAATTTATTATATATATTTATAGATGAATTTTGATCTTTTTTTCTAGTAGTAAAAAATTCTAAGTTAAAAAATACAATGATGGTAGAATTTCAGGGTTTTTTTTTTAAATTATTTTAAAAAAGTGAAAGTATGTAAATTAATTATAATGTTTAGTAAGTAGAAAAGATATTTTAATTATATTAATTAAAATATGAATAAATAAAAATAAAAAACTTTGTTATTTTATTTGATTATGCACCAAAATACTACCTAATAAAGGAACTTGTTAGTAATTGCATAAAATTGGTTTTACAATGAGTAAAATCAATCTAGAAGTCTGAAGAGGTGAAAACAAGGTTAAATACGTTTTTCTCTTGTATGGCATAAAGAGTGTCATCTCTCTAAATTTGCAGTAGAGTTACCTTAAAAAGTGATTTATGTAAAAAGAATTGAGATGTTATATTACTAATTGCTGAAATTGATTAATAAAAAATAAGTCATATATTTATATTTATATTTGTATGTCTGTATGTTTGTATTTGTATGATTTATAATTTTTAGTATTAAGATATAAGCTTGCATATTTAGACTAATAGTAGAAGAATGATTTGGTCAATTACATGGCCTCTTTTCACTTCTTCAAATATCAAGACTTTTCAAAAACATTTCTTATTCACAAAGAAAGAACTCTTGATAATACTTTTGTTCTATGGCCTTTTAAAATAGACTTCTACAAGTAGAGAATTCCTTATTACAACATAAATAAATGAAAAAAGGAAATATTGCATTCTTGACATATTGTCATGATTATATGGTTTTTATCCCTTGTATTATTGCAGAGAGAACTTGCATGTAAAGCAAATATTTGGTATTATTTAAGATGGCTGTACAAACAATCATTACACTAATATGTTTGGTCATATTGATATTGATCTATCTAAATGCAAAATGCTTTTATAATAAAATATTAGTCCACCTAATATTGTCTAATTTGAACTAGGGTAGAATTTGAGAAGCAATTTTCACCAGACAAACATCAGGCATCTTCAATTCAACCGGAAAACTAGAAAATATTATCAGACATATGTATGAGTGTGAGTATAAATAACATTATATACAAGATAGTGCATGTTTTATGATACTACGTCTATTGAGGCGATTTGCTTGGACATTTTGACTTATTACTTGCTATGTATGGATGTACATACAGTTCTGTGTGTGCATATATATATATATATATGTGTGTGTGTGTGTGTGTTCAAGTTCAGATTCAATGCTGTCAGAATTCATTCGAAGTGATTGAGAGTGTCGGGGGAGTTTCAAGGCGCACATTTAGATTCGAATGGTTCCGAGAGCAACTAAGATCGGCGAACACTGGATTCACTGATCTGTGAAGATACTGCCACTCAACATGGTGCTCAACACCAGCGATAGATAGATTTGTGCAGAGCACAGCTTCGGCGAAGTCCATCACAGCTGATCAGATTCAGGTTCAGATTGTATGAAGGCCCTCTTCTGCAGTTACCGAGCTTGGATTCCAGGATGACAGAGGTGGTGTGGATGCATACCTCCATGTCGCTTGCAAAGTTGCCTTGCCGTAACGATCCCCTGCAACTTCCTCCTCCGGCACAGCTGCTTCCAGCTCTGCCATCTCCTCACTAGTCAAAGTCACTTGCAGTGCTTGAATGTTGGAGTCCAGGTTCTTCTTTTTCGTCGTGCCTGGGATAGGTACCACGTCCTTGCCCTTATGGTGAACCCATGCGAGAGCGAGCTGATTGATAGAGCACTTCTTTCCCTCCGCTATCTCCATCACTCGTTGACGCAGCTTCTCGTTCTTCGCTAAGTTCTCCCCTGATAACCTCCCATACATTTTACGGAAGTCACCCTCCTTGGCCTCTTGTGGATTGTAGCCCGCAAAGAAGCCGCGACCCAGTGGGCTGTAAGATACAATGGAGATCCCTAGCTCCCTGGAAAGACATGAGCTCGCCCTGTATGAGAATCACGACTAAACCTTGATAAAATCCCTGCCACGCCTACAGACTGTAGATGTGTGGAGATGTCAGGATGACCAGGGCTCGGATATTCTGTTTAAGAGGTTCGTCAAAAGTATGGGAAATTATACCTGCAAGTGGGGACTATCTCTTTCTCGAGATCACGAACCCACAGAGACCATTCCAGTTGAACGGCAGTGATGGGATGCACTGCATGGGCACGCCTGATTTCAGATGCATTGGCCTCTGATAACCCCAAGTACTTCACCTTTTTCTCCTTCACCAACTCTGCCATCGCCGCCACCTGTGACATTACCCAAAGCTCCAACTTCACCATCAAATCTCTCGTCATACACGGTTATAATTGAGGGATTCTTAAACCATCCTCGACTAATATGCTTGAAAATTTGAAAAAAGTATTGACAGGGACTGAATGTCGTTGTACCATAGTCTCAGAATGTCCAATCTACAAAGCCCGTAAAATTGACTATGAAGAATGTTGGACGTTGCGACGGCTTTCGAACAACCACGAGGAGGACGGATGTCACTGATTACACATACAGTAATTTCGATTGGAACTTTCTTGTCGAGACGGTGCTGGTAGTACAGATCGATATAGTCCACGTCCAGCCGCTTCAAGCTTGCTTCACACGCTTGTCGCACGTATTCAGGGTCGCCCCTCACCATGACATTGCCTTTTTGGTCGAAGATGTTGCCAAACTTCGTAGCAAGCTGCACCTTATCCCGAATGCCCTTGATTGCCTGCACCGCATCCCCACTTTCCTTGACGTAAATCGAGAGACGATCCAATACTCAGAACCGGACGAGCCACTGAAATTCTTCATGTCTGAAACTATCTTCCTACAAAAGTGAAAAGTGATCATTTTCATTTGTTTAGAATGTATGCAGAGACCTACCTTTCCCACCAGTACCTCATTCGTGTGAGGTCCATACATATCTGAAGTATCCAAAAACGTCACACCTCTTTCGACAGCGTAGTGAATAAGATCGATCATTTCCTGCTCTGGCGCAGGAAGTCCGTAGAAACAACTCATGCCCATACACCCTAGTCCCTGTTGCGACACTTCCAGACCCTGCGACCCCAGCTTCATGCGAGGCACTTCGAACGCCATGGCTGAAAATCACCGCTCTAATCACCTCGCACTTACAAAAACTGGAGAATACACTCATATACTAACTCACAATACACCCACAGCTACGGCAGAACATCCCCGAGACTGGGGTTTCACTACAGGATTTCCTCCACTCTGGAGTTCTGCCCGCTCGCCAACCTTGAGATCTGAAAGGTGGTAATTCTTTGTCGTCATTGTCGAACTATTTACTACAGAAGATAGCATGCAACCAAGGCATGATGAATGAAGCCCAGGATAAGATGAAGAATCTGCTCCACGGAAGTAAAAAGTGTAGATGAACCTACGAGATGGAAAGACAGAAAATGAGGACAATGGCCACATAATTAAACGAGTGGACCTATCGGATGGTCCCAGGGGAATACCGGACATGTTTTCATTGTTCTCTACTTGCACACCTCTGACCTTATAAAACGGGATAGGAGCCTTGCAGAAAAGAATCGCAGAGGTCACGTCTTTCATGACACCAACAACTGATTTCTTTCGACCCATAATGACAACCACCTGTCAAGCTGTGTGACCGCGACTTGGAATCGTCGGACGAAATATCCAACGGTGTTTTCATGTTGTATTCGAAAAAAACATGCTTCATGTTATATTTCTTACGAGCCAACTTGAAAGCTGTTCAAATTTTCAAGTTAACCATTCGAATTCTGATAAATATGATTTGCAACACAGTATTGCAAAATGGAAAGAAATAAAAATAAAAATAGAAACGTTTTTTTGAAAAAGAGTTTAACACAACAGGAAACCTTCCAATGCTAGTGTTGAGTCCAAATTATGTATTTTAAATTCTGATTTCAGTAATATTCTTTTGGAAAAACTGGAATTCTTTAAAAAAAACTTAATTGTGATAGAATTCGAAGGCAATGATAAGTTCTTACACTCATTATTGAGGTTAAATATGTGTGTCACTGCATCACAATTCGATGTGGGTGATAAGAAAAAAAAAATGCGTCAATCTGGGACTTATATCGTTGAGCTTGCATATGGTCGCCATTGATTCATCATTCGAAAGCTATAAAGGTGTTGGTGCTCACCACTGCAAGTATTCGCATCTTCGCGGAGCTAAAGAGCTATGACCACGACGACTATGCAGTATGTTGGGTGATTCTCGAAGCAACAGCAGGCCCCATCGATTTGATATACTCCTAACATGGTACTGTAGTTGGAAAAGCCTCCACTTCACAGAACATCTTCTTCACAATCAGAGTCCTCATCATCTAGAACCGCAAGATTCCGCACCTCACAATCAGTTCAATCTCAGCAAAACAAGGCGCCCGAACCTCATCTTTCTCGTTCGTCGCAGGCTCACTCAATCCTCCAGTGGCGGGAACAACTGCTGTGCTGAGCTGGTACACTATTGCCACGTGGCAGGGAATGGGAGGTTGGAGAGGGTGGAAGCCAAGGACGATGCGCCAGCACGGTCACTGTTGGCGGAAACGGCAGATAGGGCCGGAGAACACATGAGTGCAATCTTGGGGAGGAGGCATGCGTATGGAAATCCTCTCCCGTTCCCTGGGTTCCCCCCCTGGTTCTAGGTGGTTCTACACGCTCCCCTCCCGTTCCCCTTTCTGCGTTCTCAGTCTCCCATACCACCTCCATTTCTTGTTCACTTCAGCACTTCAATCATACATACATACATATATATATATATATATATATGTATTGCTACGCTCTAGAGAGGCACTATTGTGTAACCTCTCTCCGAGTTCCATGATGTTGTGCAAGGCCTTCTTTATTCATTGTGTTTCTTTATTTAGGTTAAATTTATTCTATAGGATTTTTCCTAAGTGGAAATTACACACACACACACACACACACATATATATATATATATATATATATTCAATTCTAAAGTAAACTTCATGCTACTTTGGACATAGCTAGTATTGATGTTGAGTTACAAAATAAATAATATTTTTTAAAATTCTTGATTGAAAAACACACACTGTCCTTACACACATGGGTAAATTAACATTTAAAATAATTTTTGAAACGTCCCACTTGTGCTTGGACTGTTAAACCATAAACTTTTAAAAGACGTTGAAAAGATCACATGCAAAACAATTCGTATTTAGTTGACTTTTGTAATAAAATAGGGGCACCTACTCAACATGATGCAAGTACGAAGTTAGTTTGGATAGGTGATTCTGGCTGAACTACACATGCATGAAAAGCAAGCAAGCAAGCAAGATTGACACAATCAAACAAACAAACAAACAAACAAATTTCACAAATATTTTAAATTGTATTTTTTAGTGACTCCATACTACACAAGCAAAACCTCTCCTTGAAGATTTGAATGTGTTTTCATGACCCCCCCCTGCAAAATCATTATGCACAAATAAGTACTAGCAGGTCTTAATGCCACTACTTTATTTGAAACCTTCCATTCATTGGTCCTCTCCATAACAAACTTTTGGGTGGGTGAGAGCCATTAAAACCAGATTACACACACTCCTGTCCTCTTGTGTTTGTTGCAAGCTTCACAAACTGTGGGCGATTTTGCCCCGTCCAGGAATGCAACAAACACAACCACAGTTTCTATTGCAACAAGCAAGCAAGTCAGCTCTTGTTGCATCAGATGCTGTTCACTTGTCAATGGTGTTCATGTTCATGGAGTCAAAAGCTCACACATGGTCTCACAAAGGAGCAAGTTTTACTCCCATTTTGGAAAGAATTTCGTTCAAGCAATGCAGATGCAAACAATGGGTAGGAGGAAAAAAGGAGGAGCTCACGGTTGGGTGTGTGTGGGTGAGCATTGCATGATGAAGAGACTAAGAAAGGTGGGTGGGGTTCACAGCGAGGCCTCCTCATCCACTAATGGATGAAGAGTGCTGGTTCAGTGTTTGTAGAGCTGTTGAACGTGGCATCAGAGATCACTGAGCAGCGTTGTCAGGCGGGTCAGGAGCCGCCTGACATCGCGAACATGCATCTGAGCGTTTGCTTCCGGCTCACACAGCTTTGCCAGTGCCAGACCCTCATTCATCGTTCTTCATGAATCTGTTTCTCTTGGGGTTCCAATTGAACCTGATTCGCTACCACCCATCCCCCAAAATACCTTGAGAGAGAGCAGGAGTGTCTGAACCAGGTTTCATATTTTAATTCATGTTAGCTGAACTAGTTGAACTCGAGACACGGGTATTGGAATCTAATTGGATGCTTGCTTCTTTACAAATTAGACATCACTGATGTAGATTACAGCAGGCAGTGATTCATTCTACCAAAATAGCAATCAGTAGCTTCGGTGGATTGGCTGTGACGCCCTCGGAACCATATTGTTGCGAAATGCGGTGGTGAAGGAGCTTAAATTTGGTTTTATTTTCCCTGTTTTGAAGCAAGCATGAGGTGTTACTCTCACTCGTGTTTTTTTGTTTCTTTTTTCCTGAATGTACTGCACCACTTCCTGTATGTAATGCACGAAGCACTAAGCATCTACCACTAAAGTCCCACCTCTGGCGCCGGTGCCATTCTGTTTCTTCGGCTTGTTGTTATTCAGCCAACATCCCTTCCTGATGTTTGTTTGGTCTCCTTTCTGGTGGGTGGGTCAAAGCCAATTTCAAATTCTTGGTAGCCTCCTCGGCGAGGGCTGCCCCTCGTCCATCCACGACGAGCCCCCCTATGAGCATTCATCCTCGTCAAGCTACATTTGGGCTTTCGCGTCACCTTTGAAGTGTGTGAAAAGCGCAGTATACCGACTTCGACTCACGTCCGAGTGAAGGATTCATCCACGAGTGAGTGCCCATCCATCCATACGAGCGTGCAGAGCCCGTACGAGGAGCCGACGGAGACGGCCAGAACTCTGGAGCTGGGGCCAGGAACACTCCAAAAGCAAAATGACATGATCGTAAGGTTGGGTACTTATCAGAGCAGGAAGCTTTACCGGCCGTTGTGCCATTGTGGTCTGTCAGCTCAAAACAGGAATATCTCCTCATCCTCCATCTCTCGGTGCCTTCATGGTGGTCTTCACGTTGCGTTTCTTTTGAACTCTGGGGCGGAGTTTTTGATACGAGGCTTATGTTTTGGTAATGCGCGGTGGAATTGTGCGTCAGGTGCGATCGAGCAGTGTGCGAACTCGCGGTTGAGAGGTTGTGAGAATGTTGGTGTAGGAGGATAGTCCAGGAAGATTGAAATTCTGCCGTTAATGGGGGTGGTGGTGTTAATTGTGAGCTTGAGGTGAGGTGAGATGGGAACCGGAGGTGCTAGTAGGGAATGCTGGTTTGCATCGTCTAGGAGGGATCAAATTTGGTGCCACGAGACATTGGTGAAGGTTTGAGAGTGGGTTCTTCCCTGTACGTAGTGTACATTGTAGCAATGCGAGGAGTCCCTTGAAGAGACGGAATTTTTAGTGCATCGTGAAGGTTTATCAAACTGTGAGGTCACGATGTTGTCTTCGAATGCCTGCGAAGGGCGGAGCACGTTAGAGGAGATGCTGGATTTAATTAGTACAGGTGACACGGAGGAGAGGGAAGTTTCAAGTGATGATACGCAAGAAGACTTGTTACCATTGCCTTCGAGACCAACATCCAGGGCTCGCTTGCCATCATCCGTGCGAGCCAAGAAGGCATTGGGTGTGTGCTTGGATAACATCGTTCCCTCTAGTAATGGTTCTGCGGCGTTGTCGAAAGAAATTGTCTTCCTTGGGTCACCCATTGCAAACCTGACGGTGCCTTCCGACCCTCTGAGCTTAGCTCCAAAGTCTTTCGCATCTGAAAATGGTTACACACCACTGGCCAAGGGTGAAGACTCTGCGAACAATGAGAGCTTCGCTAGTCCTAACCTCGCCTACTCCCCTACCATTATACCAGATGTTCTCATGCAGTCGGACGAAGTTCGCCGCAGTAGGACGCTCAGCTTTGGTGAACGACTAAATGCATGCAGCACCCAGGAGCGAAGCTTCAGTTTTCTAACTGCACAAGAATCCTCTACGCCTCACACGCCTCTCCCTCAGAATCCTCTCGTGGAGGATACTTCCCTTCCTGTAACGACTCCATCAGCAGGAAAGAAGTGGAAAGATGATGGTATATTGCGTCTGAAGAAGGTACACTTCTCTCTTTCTAAAGACCCTCTAATTATTCTTTTTAGTTTTCGTTTCTGTGTTGGCAAGGAGAAGAGCTAAGAATATTTTTATTTGTCCGTGGGGGATCGTTATTGAGTGTGATCAGCCTAACTTGGTGGTCCAGAATTCTAGCCCACATGGCTTGATGGTGTATCTTAGATTATGTTGTTCGTGCTCGGTAGGTTCCACACTGTTTTTGTCATTGCCAAGTGATTTCGGGGGAGTGATACTTGCAAACGTTAGCGGCACGAATGATATTTGACATTTACCAGCGATTGTAGTCATGAAGCTCATATTCACTTTCGATGTTGTTGTTATGAAGCTCATGTTCTTGTGCGATGCTGTTCTTGATTGCAGTATATGCGAGTATGGTGTTTATCCTCAGAATACAATTGGATTGCTGGAACGATCGTTTCTGCCGAGAATAAGGATGCAGAGGCTATGGTCCGCACTGCTGATCACCAGGTGAGGTTTTGTATATTTCCTTGTTTGTTCTCAAGATGAGATTTTCAAAACAATGCATAAGTGACCATGTCATACTATTCTAAAATTTGCTCTATCTTGAGAGCGAGAAACACTTACCTCCAAACAGTACTAAAGATATCTTTTTGTTGTGGATTGAAGCAGATAATCAGAGTAAATGTCACTAGGCTTAAGCCAGCGAATCCTGATATTTTGGAAGGAGTTCATGACCTCATTAAACTCAGCTACCTGAACGAGCCTTCGGTCCTGCATAATTTAGAATTTCGTTACGCGCATGACAAGATTTATGTAAGTTCAAGTGGAATCATGCTTTGATACTATAATGATTTGATTTGATTTTTCCTTCCTCACGAATATTTCACGCCTTGGACTTCAGAAAGTAACACTAGGCCCATGTGAAGTCCACACCTCAAGGACAAAGCAAGATACTGGAGCAATTGAGATGCTGACTATATCACCCCATGATTTCTGAAACTCATCACTCGGTTTTTGGAATTCAATCCGCATTCTCTGGCAGCTTTGTCTTTGCTTCTTCTCCAAATTATTCGAATGAAGTGTTGTAAAATTTCTTTCAACATTGAGGTGAAACGTTGCTGTGCAGACTAGGGCTGGTCCAGTCTTGATTGCTGTCAATCCATTCAAGCAAATCCCCATCTATGGTCCAGACAATGTTCAGGCGTACCAAAGGAGAACTTCGGAGAGTTCTCACCCTCATGTTTACATGACAGCGGACAGTGCTTTTAAAGCCATGGTTCGAGGTGCACGATCTTTTTTACTCTCTAGCAGCGGGTTATAAGCTTAATTTGCAACAGTTTGATCAGTGCTATAAAATGCAATGTGCTTGTCCTAAAAATTCCTCTGATCAGAAATCCTTCAGGAGATGAGCACGATTACAATTGTCTCGGTTAGGCATATAATTTATGTCTGTTTGAAACTCTACGCTGGTACATGTGCAGGTGGGATCAATCAATCAATTATTATCAGGTATGTTTTCCGGAATCCTGTACCACTTTGAACAGCTTCTGGGTTGCTTATTGTGAGAAGGTAGCTAGATACATGTCGTCTCTGTCTACGTCCTAATTCCCATTGAAATTTATCTATGAATGTTACCTATTTGTTTTATTTCAATTCAAGACTGCTTTATTTGAAGTGCGGTTTTCATCGAAGGGATTGTTCAGTGAGCTGCATTAAGTTTCATGCGGAACTATTTTGATACGTCCACAGTGGTGAGAGCGGTGCAGGAAAGACAGAAACAGCAAAAATTGCCATGCAGTATCTAGCTGCACTTGGAGGCGGTGGTGGGTTAGAGGACGAGATCCTGCAAACAAATCCTATTTTAGAAGCATTTGGCAACGCCAAGACATTGAGAAATGACAATTCCAGTCGCTTTGTAATTTGCCTTACTTGATTTATTGTCATTCATGATGATTTATGGATAATCATATTTTTATTCACAGGCAGATCTTGTAGATGATGGTGGGTCACGGGCATTGGAACAACTAAAACATGTCAGATCCTCAGACATTGACAAGAGTTAGTATTTCTTGTTTTATAAGTGTCGCTACTAGTGACCTCGCTGTATGTGTTTGCAGGGAAAGCTAATTGACATTCATTTTGATAGAACGGGGAAAATATGTGGGGCAAAGATTCAAACTTGTAAGCCTAAACAAAATCCTTTCTTGGGGCGAGTGGCTATTGACGAGAAGCTTTAGTTTTTCTTCTGTCAAGTAATCTTTTGCTATCTCTGTGCTGTTTCACTCTTGCACATTTTTCTTGTACTGTGATGAACTCAGCACCACATGCTTCTAACTTTGGTTTTTGTGCTATGGTTTTTATGCAACTATTGTGCCTGATTGCGAGAAGATTTACTAGAAAAGGTTGGCCATCTATTTTTGGGGTCGTCTGTTCATGGTTTGCAATGCAAGCTGAAGAATTTTGGTCTACTCATGATCGGGTGCATGATACATATACTGCGTCAGACGAGATCTTTGCTGAGAGCTGACACTTGGGAGGTTCTAAATATACGGTTGGTCCCTCTGTCAAATGGGACAAATTTCAAGTAGCTCATGGTAGACGTTCAGATATTTCGTCAGTGGTTTCTGACATGTTCTCATTATTTTGTGATCACAGTCACGAGTTGTACAACAGGCTGTGGGCGAAAGATCTTATCATGTTTTTTATCAGCTCTGTGCTGGAGCTGACACAGCTTTGCGAGGTAACATGAACTATCACCTCAAACCCTTTCACTTCATCTGCTTTTATCAATAAATTATTTTATGGCACTTGGGCTGGTTTGTGAACAACAGCCTTCATTACAATTTTAATTTTTTTCAATTCATTTTTTTTTTTTTTTTTTTTTTTTTGGATACAAAGTACGACCTTTCACAATTTCCAATCTGGAGCAGAGCGGTTGTATGTAAGATCTGCGAAGGAGTATCGCTATCTGGATCAGAGTAGCTGTTTATCTATTGAAAAGGTTGACGATGCAAAGAACTTCCAACATTTGAAGGTGAGTCTTGACCTCTCATGGATTTGACGATTGCATGGTAAGAATCACATGTATCTGGTATCAATTTAGGTCTGGATTGAATGCCGTCTGAATCTCACGCCCGATGTAAGATGGACAATCTATTCAGTCGCTTTCGTGTTCCCTCGTGCTACATACTCTCTTCTTTTGTGACTGAATATTCAACTCAGCTGAGGGAGCACTATCGTGCAGAGTGCTTTGAATGTAGTGCAAATCAGCCAGGAAGATCAGGAGCAAATTTTTGAGATGCTTTCAGCTGTTCTATGGATTGGAAACATTACATTCCGCGTTATTGACCATGATAATCACGTCGTTGTGAACGAGAATGAAGGTAATCGAGGTTCTTTATTGTATAACTCTCAACAAATTCATTCAGATTTGTTTTGACCAACTTGGGCTCTATTTCAGCAGTGTATATGGAATTTTGTAGTATTCTTCTGATCTTACATAGCTGACTTATTTCTTTTATGTTCGCAGCTGTAAATGTAGCAGCAGGATTGCTCCACTGCAAGTCTAGTGCGCTAGTTGCAGCACTTTCCTCGAGACGGATCCGTGTTGGAGGTGAAGAAATTGTACAAAGGTTGACATTAACTCAGGTATTCTATACATTATTCATACCTTAAGTTTTGAAGTTTAACCGACACAACTCGTCTTCGTAGTAACAAAAGCGACCAGACGCAATAATCGCTGCGGGTTTAGATGCCTGAATCCCGTTTAGTCTCATCTTTGAGCAGGATAAAGTAAAGTACGTTTACAGGCCATTATCTCTTCCAATTGTCCTCTGGCTGTAGGCAAATGATTCCAGGGATGCCCTTGCTAAAGCTATCTATGCTAGCTTGTTCGACTGGTTGGTGGAACGCATCAACAAGTCTTTAGAGGTTGGCAAAAAGCGGACTGGGAGATCAATAAGCATACTGGACATATATGGTTTTGAATCCTTCAAGGTAAAATCTGAGATTACTGTGATTTCCAGTCGGAATTATATCGTAATCAGGCAACAGTTGGTAATGGTCTGGGTGCAGTACGTGCTAAAGCAAATCAAATGATTGTGATGTATTAGCATGAAATTTATTGTAGGAACCTGATACAAGTAGGTTTTACAAAATTTTCACGTCAAATTTTTCATCTACATTGGAAGTTGTTTTAATCTTCGCTTTCATGATTGCAGAAAAACAGTTTTGAGCAGTTGTGTATTAACTACGCAAACGAAAGATTGCAACAACATTTCAATCGTCACTTGTTCAAGCTTGAGCAAGAGGTACCATGAAGGCTGAATATTTTTGCTATTGATTTCGATTGATTTCTGCCTCAGTTACTTTACATGATCTATAATCCTACCTTTTTTTGGCTATTACTGCAACAGTTTCTATACTGTTTTCCACTGGGGACTAGATCGTGAAGTGCCGCATCAAACATCTAACAGAGTCCGACTTTGTTGTGTTAACTTATCAGGAGTATACATCCGAAAATATTGATTGGACAAGAGTGGATTTTGAAGACAATCAAGAGTGTCTTGATCTTATTGAGAAGGTATACATGCTTTTTATGACTTTTTCTAGGCACATGAACTGATCGACAATCCGAACAAATTACCGATTTTGTTGGACCGGGTCTTGTTATTGCGAAAAGTTCAAATAATGTGTAAGACCACTGCAAATCATATCATTGCGGATAATAAACCTAACAATGTTATGGACATACACTGGGCAGAGACCATTAGGATTGATTTCTTTACTGGACGAAGAGTGCATGTTCCCACGAGCTTCAGATTTAACGCTGGCAAACAAGCTGAAGGATCATCTGAAAGGGAATGACTGTTTTAAAGTTGAACGAGAAAAGGCATTTCGAGTCTGTCATTATGCTGGGGAGGTATTCATCTTGCAGTTACTTTGGATTAGGGTTATAAGAAGTCTTCTTTATGGATGATTGCAAACCTTTTCCCTCTAATTATACCTTGCCGGGCCCTGAAACACATGATAATTTCTAGATCAAATGTTCATTTATGTTTCGGCTGCGTTTGCTGCTGTTCTGCTTACAAGATTTAAGCGCAGTGTTTATTAGTATCGAATTTGAGCAGTAACTTTATAAATGTTGGTTGCAGGTTGTCTACGAAACAAATGGGTTTCTAGAGAAAAACAGGGATCTGCTTCACTCAGATTTGTTACAGCTGCTGACTTCTTGTGATTGTGAATTGCCACAACTGTTTGGTGCCTCTATTGGCGATGGTGCACAGAAGTTGCTTAGCCCCAATCGTAGGGCTAATGGCACGGAATCACAAAAGCAGAGTGTGGCAGCAAAATTTAAAGTATGCACCGGTCATCCGCACAGATTTTATATCGTTTTCACCCGCAAACGCTAGCTAGGGGTACTAGTAGCTTTAGTCTGTTATTTCACCATCCTGTTGCAGGGAAAAAGTCTTCTTTCAGCGTGAGACCTTGAAGCATTACAAGCATTGAAGAGATTATTGAAATCAGCTAAAATAACATCTTCAATTGTGTTGATGGCATTGGTTTTCTAGGGGCAATTATACAAGTTGATGCAAAGGTTGGAGAGTACTGAGCCCCACTTCATAAGATGCATTAAACCCAATGCATCACAATTCCCTAACATCTTCGACCAAAAGCTAGTAATACAGCAGCTTCGTTGTTGTGGTGTCCTGGAAGTGGTGCGTATTTCACGTTCCGGCTACCCTACGCGCCATTCACATCATGAATTTGCAACCAGGTAAGTAATATTCGAGATTCAAGTGAGAACACAGCTTAGCATGTAATCTGTTGTGTTTGAGTATATAGTGGTGTCTACGCAAGTTATGGCACCAGAATTTTGTCTGGTATTTTTGCCAAGAATTGTCTTTTTTTTTTCTGTAAGTTTGATCTGGCGCAATGTTCATGCTTTAGACTCATTTATGCGCAGATATGGCTTCCTGCTTCCACGAAACTTGTCTAACCAAGAGGATGTACTTAGCATATGCGTTTCCATACTCCATCAATTTGGCATCGCACCGGATATGTACCAAGTTGGGATCACGAAGTTGTTTTTTCGCGTCGGACAGGTAAGATGTGTCCTCCTTTCTTCTTTAGATTTTCTAGTTCCCGTCTGATAATTTATTGTGGTTCTTGTTGCCTAACGAAGTGCATTTTTCAGGATTCATAAAAGACTCCTCTCGGATGGTATTTTGTCATGGAATTATGTCACTTGTAGTTCCATCTCTAACTAAATCGAGTTGCATCAATGAAATTGAAGTCTTTAACACCTGTTGCACAATCAATGCCGCAGATAGGACATTTGGAGGACGTTAGATTGAGAACCCTTCAGAGTGTCATACGAGTTCAGGCTTTGTTCAGAGGTTATAAAGATCGCTGCAATTACAAACACCTTCGAATGACAACAATATTCGTACAGTCCAGTACGTTTATCTTACTTCAGCCTTAGTTTTTCCAGGCTTGCTTCATATTCTGTCTCCTGGAAGATGAGGCTACTGGAATATCTCATCATGCAACCTGCAAACTTGACAAACACCTAGAGTTTGATTTTACTGATTTTGTTTTTTAACCTTGTTTTTTCTAAATGGGTTAAATGGGCACTTGCGGACTAATGGTTGCCTGGCAACCATTTGATATATTAAAATACCTAGCAACCGTAGCAAAAGTATATGCTTTGATCTGACTGTTTACTCTGATTGGGAGACTCCAGTGGTGAGAGGGGCCATAGCAAGAAGGCGATTTGAATTGTTGCAAGAGAGACATCGTGCAGCCGTAATGATACAAAAGTTTGCACGAAGGCAGGTTGTCTCTCGCAGATATCAGTCGACGAAAGAAAAAATTGTAAGGCTTCAATCAGGTATTAATCCTTACTGAGAGAAATTATTTACCCTTGCCTAAATCCTTCAAGCACTTTGTTCCTTTATTGCTGTACCAAGTACTTATCGTGTGTCTTAGTGGGATATGGTCGACTCTGACTGGAAAATGGCGTATGGCAGTCGTTCGGATGTGGTTGGCAAGGAAACAGCTATTTTCTCAGAGAAGGGAGGCTGAAAAAAAGATAGCATCTGAAAAAAAGCGTGCAATGGAAGCCAAATTTAGTGAGGAAAGAAGAATTGCGGAAGAAACTGAATCTAAGCAAGACTTTACAACTAATGGAAAGGATGCTCTTCCCAACGTTGAGGGTGATGGAGATTTGGAATGCGTAAAGGAGGTAGCAACTCCAGAACCTGCAGTTTTTGCTCAAGTAAGTTAGACCTCTTCAATTTGGTAACCACTCTTCTCTACACAGTGGATTATGATTAATCTTCTTCACTTCTTTATATGTTAGGCTCTCCTAGGATACTTAAACACCAAGTCATCGCTTTGTTGTGCAGGTAATGAAAGAGGCTACTATCAAGGTTGCACCTTCATATCTTTTGGAGTTGCAGCGGCGGGCAGTCATGGCAGAGAAAGCACTGAGGGAGAAGGAGGAAGATAACGCTGTACTGCGGCAGAGGCTCCTACACTATGAGGCACGTTGGATGGAGTATGAAGCCAAGATGTCGTCCATGGAGGAGATGTGGCAAAAGCAGATGTCTTCGCTGCAACTCAGCATAGCAGCTGCCAAGCAGAGTTTAGCAACTGACGAACATCCGCTGCAAACTCCTGTGAAAGACGACAATGGTTGCATCTCTATTGAGAAACAGCAGCGTATCACTAAGCGGCAACTGCTGCCCCCTGGTGATGAGCAGTTAGACTGGGACGATGCCGCAACTAATGGCACGAGGAGCCCGGATCAGTTCACCAACAAATATTTAGTAACAGGCTCTGAGTACAGCACACCTCGTGGTGACGTCGACGCTGCGCGGTCCGTTGTCAACCACCTGATGAGAGAATATGATCACCGAACTCAGGTATTTAACGATGATGTTGATTTTCTCGTTGAGGTCAAATCCGGCTTAACCGAAGCACACTTAAATCCTGAAGATGAATTGAGGAAACTGAAGGTGAGGTTCGATACGTGGAAGAAAGACTTCAAAGTAAGATTACGAGAGACCAAGCTGGTGCTTAACAAGTTATGTGCCATGGACTCGGCGGAGAAAGAGAAAGATAGGACGCGCAGGAATTGGTGGGGAAAGCGAACAACTCCCTAAGCACTCTAAAAATAATATCCAACAGGAGTCTCTCAAAGAACCTGTGGTTTGTGAGATGTGTAGTGTACGCCTGTTCTGTCCTCCTAGCATTCAATTGCTGTGAATACAAACCTTTTCAATGTGGGGGGTCTAGAACTGCACTTCTGACTGAACCAGCACCATCATACTGAGTAGGAAAAGTCTTTTCGCCTTAAAGCACCACAGCATGAATATCACAGGGTAAAGATTTGCGAGCCTTGTACAGTCAAGGTTTATCGTCAACGATTTGGGTTGGCAACATGAGGCACCGATGGTCTGAAAGTGATGAGGGTGACGAAACATTTGCAGTGGTCATTGACATCCATGTTTTGAGCTCGTGATATTGTATATACTGAAAGCTCTTCTCAGGCATATACGCCTCTCCTGGTACCCAGGTTGCTAGGCTGTGAAGTTGATCACCTGGATATTTCTCAATTCTAGTGTTTTTTTCTCCGAATGAATCCACCCACCTCCAAAAAATGCACGAGTCTTCAACTTCCCTAGTCGGTAGGAATATAAAGAGAGCTGAAATCTTGTAACTTCTCGTACGTGTCTGTTAGAATCATGAAGCATGATTTCAGTTCTCAGTGAGCCTTCAATAATAGGCTTGTTAGGGAATGGTGTAATTTGGTAGAGTCTTTTACATTACATATTTGATGCAGATTAGACTTGGACCTATTTCAAACTAAGTTTTTTGGGCATGAATCTGGTTACTTATAACAAAATTATTTAGGCCCCTTCGCAAAAGCTTCATATAATGAATATTGACAGATTGTTGAAGTGATTTTCAATTATTAAGACAATATTTATGTTTTTACAGAGTGATTTGACAAATAATTTGTACACTTCCTGTCATTTTCACACTACAATATGACTTTACATACAGTTTTTGCTAAGGGAGTTCTAATATTTAGAAGTTCACTTTAGGTGGTCATGGTTCAAGAAGTTTTTATCAAGATTCCCTTATTGATGAAGAGAAGCACTTCTTTCACAACTTGGTGAATTTGGATATAGTGTAAAGTAAGAAGAGGTCATAAAATGGTCCAACTTATTATTTTTGTTACAAGTCTAAATATGTGAGCTTATATCTTGATTCCAATAATAGCAAGAAATATTTATTATTTTTTTAATCTTTCTTATGAGCAATTTTTTATACAGCATTTAATGAATTTAAAAGTTTTAAGAATTTGCTTGAATTTCAAGCTTTTAATGGATTTTTATTTTTAAGAGTTTATATAAATTTACAACTTTTCACAATCCAAAGGTGAATTATAAAGATTTTAAACATTGAGGTTTTATTGATTACCTTCATTGTATGAGTTGATTAAAAATATATGTTTCAGATTCTTGTTTATCAAAGTAAGCACTTTTCAAAAAAAACAATCATCTGAAAAAATTTACCTTTTTCTCTACAAAAAATATTTTATTCTAAATGCTAATAAGTTTTAATATCAAATCTTGTAAGAGTAATCAGGTTTAAAACCAATAAATTTTGGTGTGTTGTTGAGAACTTTGAAGATTATCCGTAAAAAGATTATTTTACACAACAAAATGAAATCATGTAAAATATTTTTTATGTAATAGAAAAATTCATATCAAGAATGTAGCAAAAAAATATTACATCACAATGTATTATATAAAAAGTTCTTCAATTTTATTTTAGTAATAATAATGGTTTATGTATAGTCTTTATTTAAATTTTGGTTTCAGTTAAAATGACATCATTCTTCATCAATCTTCATATTTTTGAGACTTAAGTAACTTTGAATGTATTTTTTTTGTAAATTTCTAACATATTTCACATGCCTCGTATTATCTAATTTAATATTTTTAATACATCTTTTCAAAAAAAAGCTTTAAAAAAAAAATGATAAATTCTAATAGATTGCAATTAGCAAGCCAAATATGCCAAATTCAAAAAATCAACAAAGTAGAGATTCATTTTTTTCTTTAAAAAGGGAATTAAGTATAAATCTCTTCATACTAAGTTGTTTAATCTATGTGTTTAATAAATTAGCTAAAACGCACTTCCATCAAGCACTCATCCACCAACTTAATTGTATTAACCATATATGAGAGGTTTCTACTAACCAATATCAAAAAAGAAAAAAGAAATCCTCTCACATTGCACAAAGAAATAATACATAATGTATTTCGTCTTTTAGTATTTAACTTTATAGAAAGTTCTCAAGCAAAGCCTTCAAAGGTTTTATTTTTATCATTAATTTTGGCTAAGATAAATAATTTATCATCTATTATGAACAACTAAAAATAGATGTTATCATGATTTTGATTGGTCCACACCACAAACACAAAAAAAGTTATAATTTTTTTATAAATTTTAAATCTTAACATAAAGCTTAAAATTGTTACAACTCAACAGAGCATAGACAATAAGTTAGAAGAAGTTTTTGATTAATTCTAAGGTGGTCAAAGTTTTATTCTGCAATCTAAGTTTTTTCTTACGAAAATCTTTGTATATCTCTGAAACTCCATGCAATTACTTTTGCAATTGTGTTGGTACTATATTATCATAGCATATCCAAAAGATTCCTAGTTTAATAACTTTTCAAGCACCTTAAGTCCTATTATTATTATTATTGTTTCAGCTAGAAAAGAAATCAGTACTAACTTGTGTGTTTAAAAAAATTACATAGGTTTTTATTTTATTTTTCATAATTTAACTAAAATCATGTTATTTAATATATTTATATATTCATATGTCTTTTACCCTCATGCACCAAAAAAATAAAATAAAATAAAATAAAAAATCTATTAACTTATTTACTTTTAAGTAGTTTTTTTATTTTCAAACTAATTCTTGGATTAAAAATATTTCACTAGCTCTTGTATTCTATTTAATTTTAGTTGAAAAAATTGAGGTTCTTTAAGTTTTAAGATAAGGATTTATTATGATACGTAGTTTTTTGTACCCTTTGTTATAAATGACATGCTAGATTCAAATCAATCATCTCTATATAAAAAATTGAAATCGAAATCTACTTGTAAATTTTGGTGAAATACAAAAAACATTTGGCAACCTGCAATGCTTCTACCATCCACAATATGTTTCGGGTATTGTAATTTATGAAGGTTTCTTAATCTAGAGCCTTGAGCATTAACTTTCTAGAGAAATCGATTATTACAAAGATTCCATTACATTATTAAATTTTTATAAATTTTTGTAACAAATTATGTGCAAATACTAGGAAATGACTTAGGTGGAATCCTTGATGGTTTTTACAAACTAGCAAGGACATGATATAATAAATTATTCAGTTGGCATACAATAGCATGTGATTAATTAAATCTTCATAAAATGTGTATACCTCTTCAATATTTAATCATTAGTTTTTTTTTTTGAAAAAAACCCAGTATTATTGTTTTCTTTCCTTTATCTCTTGTAAAAAAGATAACAAACAAGAAGGTATAGTTTATATTGATCATGCTTGAATGAACTGACAAATATTAACACAATCAAGATGTAAGAATTACCTTTGTTTCCTTGTATTAAAGCATAGCTATCATAATATCTAGGTTTACTACTTTCACATTTTACATTCAGTTTGTGTGAAACTATAGACACCTGTGTTCAAATGTCAAATGGTGTCTTTTATGGATATCAAATATACAAATTAAGTAAGTAAATATTTTAGTCAGTTTAAACTGTACTATGACTTTTTCATCTGTAATAGATGAGGACTAAGTATATATATGTATATGTATATGAAATTTTAAGAAACGTAAATTACTTTTCATAACATAATGGTTTTGCTGTCAATAACAGCAAAGAAATAACCACATGTTTTTGTACCAATATATTTTTTTAAATGTGAAAAGCCCAGATAAAAAATTTTAATTCTTAATTTTTAATTTTTTTAAAATAGTATATTTGGTAAATTAAGTAATTTCTCATCAACAATTAATATGTTTCATTGCTCAAGTTTTTATTATACTAAAACAGCATTATTCAGTGAAAAAAACTTGTGAACAAACATGTCCTACTTTCTGTTTCAATAAAAAAAATCAATCCAAAACTTCCAATAGACCTTTTCAATCATACCATTAAAGAAACGAAATAAGAATTGGAATCCCCGGCATGTATTTTCAAACATTCTGATGAAACAACGTGTAAACCTCACTTCGAAACACGCCATTCCAGTCCATCTGTTGAAAAATCTCACGTTTTCTTCCTGAAACGCAGACTCCCCAACCCAATTGTTGACTCAAAACCACTCACAATGACTAATTTTCCAGGTATCTGGAGAGTTACTGTTTTGCACAACCTGGGTACCCAAGTGTAATTGCACTCAAATTCTCTTTTCGCTTGATGCAATCTCCGGGAAAACTTGCTGCTGGTGTCATCTACTGTCCATTTCATCAGGTTTGTTGATGCCCACAGTTTCATGTGGGATGACTCATTTGGCTCCAGTGAGCTTTTGAGCTCCAAGTCAAGTCAAGTCAAGTCAAGTCAAAAAAAAAAAACTCACCTCCACGTCGAGAGATGACTCCAGTGTCGTGCAGCAGATGGGTGAAATTGTAGTGAAGATGAGATGAAAAGATCGAAGAGTCGGGCTTCACAAGCAATGAACACGACCACCTTAAAATTTTGCCGAGAAATAGGGCTGCTCTCCAGACAACAGCTTACACGAACTACCGCAACACCAAACACACGCTTCACCGCAATCTCTCGAAGTGTTAACAGCGACTTAGGCATTTTCTGTGCGATGTCTGTCTGATAATCCGTGTTCAGTCGGTGTCTGAAGAGCTTCAGAACAGATCCAAAAGCTGCTCGATTCATTCAGTACGCATCCATGTGGGTGCAATGCCATGTACATATCTGGTTAAATATATATATATCAACAGTTTAGGTTGACACTAACTTTTGAAGCAACGACTCTCAAGAGTCGAATTCATGGCCACGTGAGCCTGCCTAGATACTAGTAGTCCTGAAATCAAGGTGACGGAATGCCTGTCAGTTAGTCCAAGAAATAAAGAGTGAAGCACTATTGGAAAAAAAAATTAATTAATTAAAAAATAAAATAAATTGAGCTACACTGAAGATAAAAAAAAAAAAAAACAATTCAATGCCTCTATAATGGTGATGATGAAGCTCCCCGTGGAGTATCAAAGCTAGGAGACGAACGATTCCCTTGCTTCTTAATCGCCTTAACCTTGTTCATTAGGTCTTTCCGAGATGCTCCAGATTGAGGACCCGTAAGACTGTCATGCCTCAACAGAAGTAGATCATCAGTGTCTTCTAAAGGGAGACCCACATGACCTTCAGGAGCCATCAGAATCGCTTCCTCGTCATGTTTCCTGATATGGCCAAACCGTGGTGAAGCAATCCCGTGACCATCCTGAGGCAGCCCTTTCAGCTCCAATGAATATGGGGACGGACTCGGATCGGAGTCTGATTCGAAAAACTTGGCAATCTCCTCGAGTGACCGACCTTTGGTCTCCGGCGTGAAGATGTATACAAATATCGCCGAGAGAAAGGCCATGACGGAGAAGAGGAAGAAAGTGCCCGCAATTGTCATGGCTCTCGCCATGGAAAGAAAAGTGAGAGCCACAGTGGCACTCGCAAGGCGATTCACCACTATCCCCAACCCCATGGCCTGAGCTCGCAACCGCAGGGGGAAAATCTCCGAGGTCAGAACCCACACTATGGGTCCGAACCCCACCGAGAAGAATGCTACATATGAACAGATGGATAGAATGGCTAAGACAGCAACAAACGTCGGCCCACTAGTGTCTGAAGGAGCAGCAGGGATGTCGTCTGTTGGTGTGATGTTCAGGAATAAGAAACCGATGGCGAGCACGGAGAGAGAGACCGTCATCCCAATAGAACTCGTGAGAAGTAGAGGTCGCCTGCCAAGCCGATCCAACCATATGGTAGCCACCAAAATGAAGAGTGTCTTGGTCAATCCCACTGCAATTGTGGCCAGAAGAACGCCGGATTTTCCTGATATGCCCGCGTGATTGAACACCACCGGACTGTAGTACACGGTGGCGTCAATACCAGAGGCCTGCTGAAAAAATTGCACGCCCAGAGCTACTATGAGCATTCGTCGCACGGGAGACGTCGGCCATAAGAGCTCCTTCCACACTCCTTGTCCTTCGCTGTTTAAACTAGAGCGAGTGCCGCCAGAACCATCGGAAACAATGCCTGCGGCGTCCATGATCTCCTGAAGCCGGACATTCGCTTCTGCCTCGTCATTGGATGTTTTGAAAAGCACGATTTCTGCTTCCTTGATGCGGTTTTGCATCACAAGCCACCGAGGTGACTCCGGCATAAGCAGAACCCCAACTGCTAGAACGAGTGCTGGTAACATTCCTACTCCAAGCATCAATCGCCAGTTCACGTTTGAAGGTAGCCCGGAGAACACATAACTAACCATGTACCCTAAAAGAATGCCAATATTGATGAATATTTCCGGCAATGACACCAAAGATCCTCGGCTGCTCGCAGGTGCAACTTCCGCCGTGTACACCGGAGCGATCATGAGAGCAAATCCCACTCCAATGCCCTCCAACAACCGACCGATCATCAGCAAGGAAAAATGCGGCGCTACTCCCATTATTCCAGCTCCAACGAGGAAGAACAACGCCGCAATGGCCATGGTCCATCTCCGTCCAACCGCGTCCGCAATCCGCCCGGCGCATGCTGCTCCTATCAGCGAAACTAGGTTTAGAGATCCGACGAGCAACTCCTCTTGAAACTCCGAAATTCCTAAATCCTCTTGAATAAACAGTACTGCCCCAGCGATCACGCCAATATCATAACCTAGAAGCGTAGAATTCAAGGATGCCAAGAGCGCGCAAGCCAGCGCATACCGATTGAGGTTTTTCCATCCTCCACCTTTGCTGTCATCCCTCACATGCCCTGCGGTGCCGTCTGGCGTGAGCAGCTCATACTGCCTCCCCTGCTTCCCCTTCAGCTCCAGCAGCTCAAACGGCCTGGAGTTGCGCCCGGTTTCCGCCATATCTGCACGAAACTGATTGCATACACAACTACTTACTTACATAGCTTTACCTTGAGCTCCTCCTCAATGTCACTTACACTCCAAAAAAGTAGTGAGATCCACATGTTGATTGGTCCTTCACAGCAACCCAGGATTGAGCACGAGAGACAATCAGACTCCGAGCCTCAAATGCTGAACAGGCTCAAAGTCAAGCCGCAAAGTTCAATGCTCTTGCGTCACGAAGGCTAAGCGTGATTCACGATTTACAGCAACTTGCAGCAACCCAGTCGTTTGTTTTACCAATCTGTGAATCCGCTGAACGGAAACACTGTGTTTCGGAGAATAGCGACCTCATCCAATCCATCCACCGCCAGAGCATCATCATTTCACGTCGCTCTCTCGATTACAGACCCCAATTACAGATTTACCATTATCGATCAGATCTGATGTTAACTTGTCAACAGTGTGGTGTACCAAACAGAAAAATGTATTAGAGAATGTGGGAATTGGCGGTAGTCGTCGATGATTGAGGGATGATATCACTGTAAGGGCAGACTTCTCAGGCCCTCGTTATTATTGTTGGACCCATTTCTTGATGCAGCACACCCATTTCACCTGTAGTGAAATTCAACAGTAAAACGGCAAATGCACAAATCTTCAACCAGACGAAATCTTCATTTGCGGGTACTGAGTCGTTTTCACCGAGTTCTCCACTGGGTTCATGTCGTGTCATTTGTGGAAAGAGCACCTGATTCGCAGTTTTTGAAGGTGGGGTATTGGAAACAAGCACTGAAGAAACTATATGATGAATCAAATTACCGGTACGCAAGTTTAAATGCTAGCGTTAAATCTCTTCTGCTTGTAGCTTCCCAAATCCACTCAATTAGAACTTCTTTATACATTAATATAAGTATTCAATCCATTGTTACACACCATGATGTCCCGGTAGGTAAATAACTAAATTCCATACACTGGCTATAACAAAGTGTCCCAACTGATCAATTGATCAGTACAACAAACTAATGACTGCTAGGGACAAAAGGTCATGGTGATCATACTTGAGATAGCTCTTTGATCTCTCTGCGTAAGAGCCGTGCTAAACACAGTCTATTTACATTCACAGTAATCTCTTAGAATGCAGTGAATCGGTTCCATCACCAACAAACCAGCTCCACTGCTGGCTTCGATTGTGACAATAAGGGTAAAAGGGAAAATAAAAATAAAATAAGAATACGATGGCCATGGACGAAATTCGATGTAAGAAGGTTAAAATGTAGCTGGATCACAACAGGTTCTTAAATGTAAGATGGGCTTTGACAGGGCGATGGTCGGAAGTCTTCAGGGAGCCGATTGCATCATAACTGCGCAGCTCGGCCTTGACAGTGCTGGTTTTGTAAAGGATTCTATCAGTCCAAGAAGGTACCCTTTCCTGCAAGGCAAATACGCATGCTGAGAACCTTAAGAATACTCTTTTTCACTAAGATTCAATCCTGTCGAGATCCTACGCATAATCCTTGCTAATGAATGCTTAAGAAACCAGGGGAATGCCAAAAACGAACCTTGGGGCTTGTATCATACATGTCTGTTCCAACATCATACTTGAACGTTGGCGCGAAAAGCAACGGACCTTCACGAAACCCTTTAAAGGCTTGATTCTTGGACAGTGCTACAGATAACTGGTCTTTGGGCCACAACTGCCAAACACAGCAGCAGAGACTGGTAAGCTTCAGCCATGATGAAGTTCTTATACAACCTGTTCTAACACGATCTGATACCATAAAGGAAAGGAAACAGCGAACGGGAGACTGATGTGGGATCAAGGAACGTGCAAGTTGTGAACTACTTCAGAGTTCAAAAAACAAATACGTACCTCTTGCAGCTTATTATGCTTGATCGAGGCTTGAACTACACTTCGAGGTAGCTCCACACGGTAATTCAAATCACCGAGCCAAATTACCACATCGGACTCTTCCACAACGTTAGATGGCAAACCTCTAACTCGACAGCTTAAGTCCTCTGTATTCGTTCCAGGTTGAAAACAGGAGTATACTGATGTTGACCTTGCAAACATGCTTTGATGTATGCGTGCACATTGGGCATTGCGAGTTTTCAAATTGGATTCATGAGCTGCAATCGGAACATATCCAGTTATTTCAGCGAGCAATGACTTGACCGAATATCATGTACATGCCCCGAAAGGGTAGGTCGATCGACATTCATCACAGGCACAATTGATACGTTTTGAACCTACCAGCTAGATGAGAAGTAATAAAGAGTAATGACTTGTCCCCAAACTGAAGTCGCACTGCAGCTGCTCCTTTCAGTTTACCCACAATGCCACCAAGACCCTTCTCCCAAACTTTATCCACCTTTACCCCTGGCATTGCACAAGCACACTATCAGAACTTCTGCTTCTATAAGACTAATCAATAAATGTGAAAATCTTCGAGCAAAACAATGCATCGATTCAATACTGAAAAAGAGTGGTTTCTATGAAGAAATTACATACCTGAAATAAATGGCTTAATAGACCTTTTGGCGAAAATGAAGAGCTGAAGGGACATTAAAACAGACGACTCAACCAAGCTGCACCAGGAAAACCACCTAAGCATTAAGAATGATGTACGGTTTTGCATTGACATACAAATAACCAATAATTCACCAAAACCTCCAAACATGGGTCATGTGAACGCCAGTGCACACAGAGATAATTGCAGTCAGCACTCCGCGAGCAATTAACTTGAAAGAATGCATCACGGCCAAGAAGGATAAAATTCGCACCAGTACTTCGCTCCCAAAATCTCAGAAATGGAAGTTTTGGCATCAAACATCGGTGCTTCCTGAAGACCAACAACGAAGAAATCGTGGCCGTCTCCAGATAAATCAAAGAGATCGGAGAAGTTACTAGGAACCTGCACTTGCAAAAAAAACAATTACTTCTTGAGGTCTTGAATGAACAGGAGAGCACAGTTGATATATCACTTTCCAACACAAAATAAAATAATATAAAATAAAAAATGACCACTGCAAGAAATGAAGTACATGCAACCGACATTCGAAGAATGTACAGCCTCACTTCTTCTAAAGTCACCCAACAACTCTAGCGAGAGGAGCCAAGTGGTATGAGCAGTAAAACTAAGGAAAGCAGAACAGCAAAGACCATCACTACAATGAGTCTCACCTTGCTATTCATATTCCACGTCACCACGTACACATCGAGATCAGCAGCAGTACTTGCAACAGTCTTCGACTTCCACGAAGCTATCTCTTTGGCAGAAATTACCTGTTTAGTTCCGGATTTTTCTGCCTCTCTTCTCATCCTCTTGCCGCCATTAGGCGGTTTCGGAACACCAGGCGTTGCCAACGCTGCTTTTGGTGGTTTTCTTTCAACCCCAAGTTCCTCAACAATCTTGGGGTCAATCAGTTTATAGTCCGACGGCAGCGGAAAACAAGGATCAAAGCAACTGCGGTACAGATTCCTATGGCAGGACAAAGCGGTGTCGGTTGCAGCATATTTTATGTTAAAGGCCATCAGATTACTTTTCTCGCAGTCCAGCAAACCTCTCACAACTTGCTGGCCATACTTCACGATCCATTTGCTCCGTCCGTGGTGAAGAACGTAGTCATCAGGTCTTCCCACACAATTCCCCATTCTATTCGAGAGGGAACAAAATGTGTTATAAAGTTCTCAACACAATCGAAGTTTATGCACGCCCCATTGATATCCTGGAAAATCAAGGATCAACACAGTTGTAAATGCTTGATTCCTTGACAGCACCACAAAGCCATGATGATACTTCGTTCTTTTTGGCATAAACGGCATAACAAGAGGCTTATGCAATAAATTATGTAGACAGGACACATTAACAGCATCGCATCATCCTTACTGCTGAACCCAGATACACAGAAACATCATCGCCCTGATCTTGACGTTGGCTACTATGTAATTGGTAACATATGTAATTGGCTTCTAAGGGTTTTATCCTCTCATTCAATCACTCAGGATACGTTCTACATGCTATCTCGGCAATCATGTGAAACGATACCTCTTGATACCACCAGACACGTCCCACAGGAAATCCCAAAGCAAGCTCTTCCACAATTCCATAGTATTCCAAAAAACATTTCCACTACCTAACCTACTTTACAGCGTTACGCACACCGAACAACCCACCTTGATAAAGAAAACATAGAAGATTGCTCTTAGGAGCTCCCTTCCAGTCCTTAGCAGAAACCCACATTTGGCAGGATCACTCTACAACTAAGAGTTCTTCCTATTCAAGAACGCACGCCAACATCCAACACGACAAGCAAGCGGGATGTACCAGTCAAGTCGAGAAAGATCGGCTCAGAGCATAATCGAGAGCTGCAAAGGAAACAACTAACCAAACAAACTACAAAGAGGTGACTGAAGAGAAGGCCTCGTGAACAGAGTCGATTCAGAAAAGACCAACGTCCGAACAGGATCTAATTGACGCCATTCTAATTCGTGCCTCCGTCACTTCAAAATTCTCTCATTCCAAAACTCTGATCACGGACTGTCAGTTGAGCCCAACTCAAAATTAGCTGATCTGAAGCATCTAGCCACATAAGCGTGGTCCTCCTTTACCACCATCCTCGACAAGGTCACGTCCATTGTACCGACATTTTCAAAGTGCCAAGTCCCTTCACAGACATTAAACCCCAGCTTCCACAACCGACATACTCAGAGAGCTGTTTCAAAGGTAATGCACTCACTGAATCGTCGAAATCCAACCGTAAGGGATCTCCATCGGCTCTCGTTCGGGCCTCTTTCAGCAAGTAGCGTGATATCCTCCAACATGAACGGAACACATTCGAACGCAAAAACAAAAAACAAATAGCACAGCAGTGCAAGCACGTCGCCACACTCTACCCAGAACCGCCCGACACATAAAACTGCAACTGCGATCCTTCCGCGCACGGTCTCAGGACTGTTTCCATGTCCCTATCAGTCCGTCATCAACTTTCAAGTCAACCACTTTCCACACCGCTCTCCCCCAGACTACAAATGAGAACGATAACCCTTCCTCCTCGATGGCCTCACGAAAACCCTCCGGACCCTCGCAGCAGCAACCAAACTACTACTGAAACCAGTGCCGAGACCCATCGAACCCAAAAACCAACGCGAAAATCAAATATTAAAAAAAAAAAACGCTAATGCAGCGATGACGACGATGGTGGAGCCAGTATGATGATTTCACAGACTTCCAGATTCACCACCGAGTGCAGGAAGCCGGCATATATAGTAGACTTCGATGTGGCAGTGGACCAGGCAACACTACTAAAACAACAACTGCTGCTGCCGCAGCTTTGGGGACAATTCATCGGTGGAGGAGGAGGAGGTGTTTGCTGGGAGAAGGAAGAAAGAAAGAAAGAAAGTGAGAGAGACAGAATCTGGCCCCACCTCCATAAATCCAACATCCGCTGACACGACCAGCGGATCTATTACCTGGTCTCACTCATCATCATCAACGTCGTCGTCATGCCCACCACTGCCCCCAGTCCCAATCCACTGCCCTCCCCCGTCCCCGCATGAGAAAAAAAGAGAAAAAGACGTCTGTACACACACAACAAGGATCCTATCGCCATGTGGGAATCCACTACTACTACTGCCAGGCGAACAAGGGGGGGAACGGAAGGGGGGCTCCTCCTCCGCCAAGTTTGTGGTTCGAAACCGGGCCTTGAATGACGGCCGCGAAAAGAAACGTTAACTCTACAATATATATATATATATATATATATATATTTATGAATATATTTCTACATTTACGAAGCCAGCGCAGCCATTGCTGCAGTATGTAAGTAACGATGGGCGCCGCGGAAAGCAAATCCAAGGATTTAACAACCCGGCCAAGGACTTCAAGCGGTCGGTAGTTCCCATCCGCGCATCTTCGCGGCTCCTTCGCAGAGGAGGAGTTAAAGTAAAAGTCACGTTGTTAGAAAAGTCAACACACGTGTCTGGTTCGCTGTGCTCACAGAGTAAATGCTTCAATGGTGCTGGAGGACTGACTAACTACAAATTAGGGCTTAGTGTCATTAACTCAACAAAAACTCTTGAAATTAAACTGTTGCCAAGTCGTTAATTACGGCATTGTCCCTATGAGACTAAATTAGTCACTTAATCCTGAAACACTCACACACACATATCAATTATATTTGTTGTCCACTATTGGGGCCATTGAGAACTTCTCAAAAAAAATACTTGTGAAAGACAATTGCCAACACTTCCTATCAAAAAAAATGTCTCTTTAGTTGTGCAATAAAGCATGTACACAAGCAATGTAGTCTCATTGCATAACCTTCAAGAAGGTCAAGATTATGAACCAAACATCAAAATTCAACATTATTTTATGGAATGGTAATGTACTTGCTTTAAACAAAAGCAAGTGTCACGTTGCAATTAATTTGTTTTGGAAAAGAAACGTGCTAGTAAGATAGTGCAATAATTCAAAGTGTGAAGAAATTCTAAATCCAATCTAGTCCTGTGGCGTCACAATCAAATTAGCGTGCATTTTCTAAAACGAGAATCTTCCAAACCTAAATCCAATCCTTAGAAATCATTCTTGAAATACATACGTACATACGTACACATACATATATTATATGTGTTTCCTATATATATATATATATATTCATCTGTCCACGTCGGATCCGCCGGGGGTCGGGAGGAGCCAGCTGGATGATGCCCTCCCTCCATTCCTCCTCAACTTCCGATCCCTCCAGCTGGCAAAGAGCCTATAACCGTGGCCCAAAAGAGATTCATAAACCTATTCATCCATCCGCCAGTGTTGTATTCATTCATCCAGTTGTCCATCCATCCTTGCAGCAGTGGTAACTTCTTTCCACGCCACAGGATTTGTCACGTCCCCAAAAGAGAACTTTTCTCAATCTCAGTTCCAACGAACAAAATAGTTTGGATTCTATTTTCAGGTTCTTCGAGCATTGATTGGCTTAAGTTTAGGGTTTAGGGTTTTGTATCATGCAATAATTAAATATGAGACAAGAAAAGAGGTGAGTAATGTAAAAAGAAAACTGAGAAATGCAAGTACTATTCTACAAATTATTTGTTTAATGAATTATATGCAATACATGTATTTATTATAATTAGACTCGCATATGTCCATCATGACTTTTTCCTTTCAAAATTTGAGATTAATTTTAGACCATATTTTCTAGTTGTCTCAATAGTAACAGCAAGAGGACTGTGGTCTTGAATCAAATTTGAACAAAGAATAGGTGAAGTTAAGAATGGCGTTTGATTTTTTTTGGCAACAAATATTGATTGAAAACAACTTTACCTTTGAATTTACCATGTTGCATGTGTTAGTGTATATTTGTGCAGTGGTTATGTAACTTCAACCAAATTATGCACGTCATTGTGCACCATTATCCAAGCTTTTGGATTATTACTTTTATTGTAGAAATTTGTTACGTAATTTATTTTTGGTAAAAATGTATTTTAATCTCAATTTCAATTCTTTCACATATATTTTAAAACTCAGAAATGTTGATTCTATTTTGTTGATTTTTATGTAATTTATGGTCAATTTTTACTACAAGTAAAATAAGTCATATTTATAGTTACGTGTTACTAAAATTTTACCTTGATTTTATTTTAACTGCACTCCTTTAAAACGTTAAAAAAAAAAAAAAAAAAAAAAAAATCTACAATCAGTTTTTGTATAATAAAATTTTAGGATCAAATGGTGATCTTAAATGGACATGTTAATAATCATGTTATATTAGGTTTTCAATATATATATATATATATATATATATATATACACACACTTTATTTTTATTGTGTAGTAGAATTTGATACCATGAGATTTTAGATTAAAACATACTTTTAGATAAACACGGATGAGAGAATTAATAAACAATAAAGTTGAAAAAATGTGCACCTATGTCTTGCATGTTTATACTTATTTTGTATGTATTTTTTAACCACAACGTACTATCAAAATTCTTATGCTTGCACTTTAAAAGTGGTAAATCTGTGATATATGTATTTGAAAATATAATAAAATAAATTAAAACTCTATATTTAATGTATATCATATCTTCAGTAATTCACAATTTTTTGTTCACATGATGGTACTCCTTCAATTCTCTTTGAACAAGTAGTTTTCATGTTTCATTCCAACCTTTCAAAGTGGTCATGTCTGTATCTTAAGGTATTTTATATATTTTTATTTCTATTTATTTTATTACATTGGTGTTGATGTTAATACCTTAAAACATGGAATTTATCATGAAAGACTACATATCTAAACACCAGATTTGATTTTTGATTTGGTAAGCTTATATTAATTTTTTTTCGGTAAAAAAGTATAAGATCTTTTTCTTATCTTTCATATTTTTAGAAAGCATTTACATTAGTATTAAAATAGAAAAAACACATTTAATTTTAAAAATGTGGAGTTTTATAATGAAAACTACACATTTGTATCTCTCTTTCTATGTACTTATGAATATCTAACATTTTCTTTTTCTTTGTGTGAAATTTTTATAAATTTTTGAATGCATGACTTCAGATTTATAATTTAATAAAACTAAATTTTAGGTTATTTTAAAAAATGCGGAAAATTAAAAAAAAATCATATCAAAATTCATTTATAAGTAAGTGAAAAACATAGTATAATGTATTGAAATAATTGAGATAAAAAAGATGAGATTTAATTGAAATGACATAATTACATATTTTAGTTACCTAAAATCAGATAATCTTAGCTTTCTTCCAATTTTGTTGATTGTTTCTATCATAGATAAAGTGAATTGTTCAATATCTATATCTATATATATACACAAAAAATTAAACAGACAAAAAAATCTTAAAAAAATATGTCAAGTAGGTAGTAAGTTGTGGTGATATTAGCAAAAATTGGAGTGGCATTAGCAATATCTTTCTTTCATGCCAAACTCTTGAATATAAAAGAAGTATAAAAAATTCAATCTTTGGATAATATTGACTCAAATCCTACTTAAAGTCAGCTTTTTATTAGAAAATGGAACAAAGTCTTCATAAAAGATTGTATTATTTCAACTCAAAAAACTTATAGGAATTATTGATGCTATCATATTAATTGGTGAATACAACAAAAAAAATAAAAATACAACATTGAAGTACTTATGATATTTTATATTTATTTTAAAAATTACATCATAAAATATTTATAATACTTATTTTATTTATGTAATACCAAGTACAAGTAGGATTTATAATATCTAAAAATATTTAAAGAAATAAAGTAACTTTAAGAATAAAATTTGATATTTGAGGTAGAATAATATGAATTATGTACTAAAAGACAATGTTTTCATTTAAATGATTCTGATTTAAAGAAAAAAGATTTGATTTTTTTATTTAGTTTTATTTTCTTATAAACACATATGTTTTAAGCCTGATTAACTATGAAGTTGAATACCATATGTTTTATGAAATAGTGTGTGTGTAAAATGTGCCATTATAATTCACATTTTTATTAACATTTAGGTTTCTGATATTAAAACTTAAGATCTTTAAAAAATTGAAATAAAAATGTACTTGTATTTGTGCATAATAAATTATATATTTTAACTAATATAATTTTTGTATTTTGAGATATAATGCAAAATAATACATTGTAGTGTAAGTGTATCAAATAGTATATTTATATATGTGAAGATGAAAATAAGAAACTAGTCTATAATTATTTCTCCTTGTGTGTGAATACTTCTATATACAATATTACTTCTTGTAATTTTTAAGATTGGTTCACCATCCAAAACATCTTATAAGAGGTTAAAACTTATCTGGTTTAGCCAAAATCATGAATCTTCTTGAGTATCTACTTATTACTATTGTATTTTTGTAAAGTTTGCTTGAGAATGCATCGAGCACTTGATTGTGGAAGATAAAATGAAACTTGCAATAAAAAGTTCTTAATATCTCTAATAGAATCTTAAATAAAATTTAATTAAGTTATAACAATAGTAATCAATCTTTAATTAAACTTCAAAAGAGACTTAAAGAACTTCTAAAAGAAACATAAAAAAATCATAAATTAATCTTAAATTAATCATAAATTAATCACATATAATAATAATAATAATAATAATAATAATAATAAAATATTAAAGATATATCAAAGAAATATTAAATAAATATTAAAATTAAAAACCTTAATTAAATTCTAATCAAATCTTAGTATAACCTTCAATAAATCCTAATGAAATTCTAAACCAATCTTAACCAAATATTAATAAAATCCTAAACCAACTCTAACCAAATTCTAAATCAAATCTTAATTATGTTCTAAATCAATTCTAAATAAATCTTAAATCTTTATCAAATCCTAGATC